GTTCGTACGAACCCTTTGTACGAACAAAAGTAAGAGAAATTTAGGAGAAGAATACGAACATGTTCTTGCATGAGGCCCATTGTGGTCCCACGACCCTCTGAGGCCCAAAGTTAAAAACTGTTGTTCTTTTGAGGCCCTGAAGGTGGCGCTCGGCCGCGTCCCATAGGTTAAGTATCTCTAAGGCACTTTAACAGTTTTACAACTTTACAGTTTCTTGGTATTGTTCTGAACAACAGCTGGTTTTAGGTTTTTCCTTAAACTGCATCTTTCAGAAATATAGAGGGATTTGGCATTATATTGATTTGATTAAGCAATAATTATTTGATAACTTTTAATCTTGAAGATTAAAAGACACATGTAAATTAAAAAAGTCTGATATTTATGGATGCTAGTCACTTATTGGGATAAGGACTAACTTGTCTTCATCTCCTGCCCCTATGAGCTGTGAGTAATTTAAAATCTTTGAAATKATACGATTTTAATAAAGACCTTGAATTTCTGTCTGTGCCCTGTCTTTGTGAGTTTAGCTGTTCTACAAAGCTCCAGCTCCATCTCTCCCTGTTTCACTTTGATGAAATCCAGAGCAGTAATGTAATGTAAAGTCATTACTGTCCAGTAACACTCTGTGTAATCACTCAGGCAGCCATCAGTGCACTCCRTGAGACGAAGAAAGGCAGGAAAGCACACATGCAGAAGGAGAGACCTTTCTGAACTTTGAATGATACCAAAACAGACATAAATAGACATCCTGTCATTGGATAATACAGGCCTTATTCCCTCGCTTTTACTCCATCACTGCAGCTTATGTTAAATTCTACAGTAATAGGTCACGTTTTTTCATGTGTTTATCTTTCTGTGTGGTTTAGGTTTATAAAGAAACTCACTGTTTCCCACTACAGATCAGTCCTCTGTCGACCCATTATGCTGTCCTACCCAAGAAAATACTTTCTGCTCACTTCTTGACCGTGAGAAAAACAGTCAAGCATTTCCCTGTAGGCAGATGTTTGCTCGTTTGAAGATGAAACTTTAAAGTGATACAGTTAATATGAAATCTAATAAGCAAGCTGATTAGCACGGACCTAGTAAAAATGACATGGTGCTGCTGCTGCACGTAATTAGCGGTGTCATTTATCACAATGTTCTTCTCTGCTCAATTCTCCAGTGGAGTCCAGCATGTTTTCTTTCCATTTCAAGCGACAGATCAGCCCAGTCAAATCRTTTTCAGACGTCAGCACTCTCGCTGTTTCATATTTTGATGGAAAAACAAAGAGAAAGTACACGGAACAAAATTACTTGTAAGATGTACTTGAAAAAATCCTCTAACAAATTTGCACTAACTTTGTTAAGTAAATTTAAATGCTACAAATTCATGTAATATTTACTCATCATTATCTAGTAAAAGTTATTAAGAATATAGTTAAAGATTTGTGAATAAATCAGGTAAATTTTACTTAATTTGCTCAATTAAATCTTGTAACATATACTTGATCAAATTAAGTAAACTTTAAGTAAATAAGTAAGTAAGTAAGTAAG